GAATGACAGAAATATGTGGGTAAGTAAAAGAGTAGGGCAGATTAAGGAGAAGTGAAGAAAAAAGGGTAAGAGGGTGAAAGAGACAAAAAGGACAGGGCTTCTTTCATTGTCTCAATCTAATGAAGCAAAACCTATTTGTCTGTCACAAATGTCCAACAAGCGTAAAGATTTTACTCTTATGGAAAGCCCTCCAGCTACATGATTACATTAACCTTCTGTGAAGAAACATCTCACACACACAGTACACAAACACACACACACAAACATACACTCAACTCAAGTTATTTGGAGTCTAATCATAAAACATGGAGTTGTATAAGGGTGAAACCCATTAATAAGTCCATTTCATGTTTTACCCTGAAACCAAAAGACCTTGTTTGAAGAAGAAAACGCCTGTTAATGGACCATTAAGATTCTGTGCACTGTAACATTATTTTCATGATAATTAAATGCATTCTCCCTTCAATTCTTATAAATTTAATGCAAAAAATCTTATCATTAATGCAATGCGAAACAACATTTTCTAATTGTATTTAAAAATATATATACTTTATAGTAGCCTATATATTTTTATTATTTGATATTTGATTCTTTTAATTTCTAATTATATTTCATAATCAATTAGACATATATTAACACTAATGTTCAAAATGTTGGGGTTCATAATTATTATTATTATTTAAAAAAAAAAATTATTACTTTTATTCAGCAAGGATGCATTAAATTGTGACAGTAAAACAATTAAAAACACTGATCATTTTACAGAATATTTCTATTTGAAATAAATGCTGATCTTCTGAACTTTCTATTCATCAAAGAATCCTGATCAAATGGATCACGGTTTCCACAAAAACATTAAGCACTACAACTGTTTTCAACATTAATAATAATAATTCATGTTTTCTTGAGCAGCAAATCAGCATATTAGAATTATTTCTGAAGGATCATGTGACACTGGAGACTTGAGTAATGATGCTGAAAATTCAGCTTTACATCACAGGAATAAATTACATTTAAAAAAATATTAAAAAACAACAGTTATTTTAAATTGTAAAACTATTTCACAATATTACTGTTTTTAGAGTATTTTTAATCAAATAAATGCAGCCTTGGTTAGCATAAGAGACTTCTTTCAAAAACATATAAAAAAATTCTTATCAGACTTTTTTACAATGCAAATAGTCTTAATTTTCTTAGTCAAAATATATATTTGCATTCACTGTAAAAAAAAATCCTTATCGCCTTACATTTTAAATATGATCAACTTGGTTGTACAAGTCATTTTAACTTAAATTACATTAAACAGACATAAAAAAATCTATTTGAATGTCATATAACTTATACAAAAAAGCTGAAGTCACTCAACTTATTTTGATGAGTTAAATAACTTGCCAAGACTTACTGATCATATCATTTTACAGTGTATTTTTTCTGTTGCTTTTGGGGTGAAACATGGACGTGTTTTGTGAGATTCACCCACAACAACTTGTTCTCTCTGACAAAGCCTCTCTGGCTCTGTGATTATCCTGTGATGTATGTCTGCCGTCTGTGGGAGCTGCGAGTCAAAATCACTCAAACAGATGAAAATGAGAGATGGCAGAAAACAAACACAAAAGACAAGGGGAAGGAAAAAAACAATGAGGGGAAAGAGGGGGGTTTGAGAAGCCTAGTAATCAGAGAACGAGAATGAAGCCCTTGTTCCTTTGATTAAATCTCTTTGTCTGCTAATAGCAATGGCAATGCCTTATCAACTGCTGCCGTCCCCCAAAACCTTGTCCGCCGTCCTCACAGGAAATCCCTAAATTACAACCGTGTTTCAAAAGAGCCAATCAACGCAACCCAGTGAGACAGGCACACACCACAGACCTTTATTAAGACCAGCGCTGCCTCTTAAAGGCACGCCACAGCCTAAAGACATGTTCTAATGAAAACACAAGGCAAAGCCAAGAAAATCGGTTTGACTAATGAAAACTTCCATCATGTTTCATTAGTCTAAAAGTGAACAGTTTTTGGGTGATTGGCAGCGTCATATTATTCAACTCATCAGTCAGAGTGATTTTGGTTGAATGAACCATTACACTGCCTCGGTTGCCCTCTGACTGACAGCTCATAATTGATGGTTAAACAGGATGGTAGACATATGTACCCTAGTTATGACCCATAAGGACATACGATAGATTAAACATGCCTTCTTGCAGACAGACAGCTGAAGAAATGGAAGAGAAAGTGCGAAAAAAGGCAAGAAATTGTGAGATGAAAGTTTGTGAGAGTGGCAGACATTGCTACATATATATATATATATATATATATATATATATATGTATATATATATA